GCATGATTCTAGCTGATGGAAAATTCCCCTGTGTGGCTTTTGGGCAAGTTCTCTAGATTCCTCTACCTTAGTTCCCCTTTGCTAAAACAAAGATGATCATGCTCACCAAGTTCAGGCAACTCTTAGAATTACTTAGTTAACACTTTTTAAAGGATCTAAAGCAGTAAAAAAAACCCAGAAAACCAAAAACCACCAACAAAACAAAACAAACCCAAACAAAAACTAGTGTGTTATCTAGCCGTCTTTCCCCACAAATTGTGTCATAAAAATAGTGATCCATTTTACCTGGGAGCTAGGGAGGTGCAAGCAGATTTGTGAACTGTCCTGAAGGAATGGCTGTTGGTAAAAGCAGTAGCATTCAAGCTGTCAGCAGCAGTCAGACCTTGTTTAAGAGTAAGGAAGCCCAGTGGCAATGTGTTGAATAGGTGGAATTACTGCAACTGATCTAGCATTTTCATCAGCTGTAGCAAATGGCTGCTGTCCTCCTCTCAGCTATCCATGAGGCTTCTTCTGGTTTTCTCTACCACTTACACTAAATCTACCTATTCCCCAACTTGTTCAGTTTACCACTGTTTGTAACCTTCCTGTGCTACCTAACTTCATCACCTGCCTCAGCTCTGGGAACCATAGGATCACAATTCAGCTCTTGTACTCTTGGTTTTTTTTTTCCCCTTGGCCTTTCCTTGGAAACAGACACTGCATAGAAAGGACGTTCTGTTGTCTGGCTGCTGCAGGTCTGCAGGCGTGAACTGACACCTGTGCATCTCCTTCCACAGTCCAGCCTCAGGAGCACCCCATCTTTTTCCTCTTGGACAGGGAGAATGAAGCAGGGGCAAGAGGGAGCATGCAAGAACAGGCAAGACAATTGGAGAGGGGAGATAGGGACAGAAAGGTCTATAATCAACAGAGCACCCTGTTAACACCTTAAACAAATCCTTTGGGTATGAAGTCATGAGGCCTTTGCTGCTGTTGCAGGTGAAACACAAAGGCATGCACTTAAATACACCCTTCGCTGCCCCCCTAGGGAATGACAGCTAGCCCTATCTAGGGAATGACAGCTTGCCACTGCCAGGTCTGCTGGGGGGACTTCTTCAAGGTTTCAGTGCTGCCTACGCTGCAGCCAACAGGAGCCTGCACCCTGGTCTTCTGGAACAGGAGGCACTCAGTGGTGTTTTAAAAATAATAGTTTGAATAACAGATGGGAAAGAAGAGCACTGAGCACCTTTTGTTTGCCAGCCCTAGCATTCACTTGCCCTGCCCTGAGCATGTGCTGCTCACGCTGCACACCCCTCTGTCACGCTTCAGGAGGCTCCATGGTCAGTGTTCACCTCCACACCCACACCTTCAGCACGTGGCCCCCCAGAACACATAACTCATCTTTTCCCCTGTGTTCTCATTAATTGCTTCCAAATGCCTCAACTCTCTTAACCTTCGATCACACATCTCTGTGTATACTTAGCTTTCTATTTAGTGGTGGTGGTGCCTTTTATTATCAGAAAAGACACTGATAAAATTACCTTTACCCTTCCTCACACAATAACCTCAAGCAAACATAACATAAAGGTTATGTGCTCACCTTAACACTCATTACTTTACAGCAGCTGTATAAAATGAGTTGTGAAATTTATCTTCTAGCTTTCATAAAATGTTTATAATCCTTTAATCACAAACACACTGAATTTTTTTTCACTGACCTGAAAGGGATCCTTATCAGAACTGAGACTGGAGGAATTTCCGGCATTCTGTTTTGTTTTTCCATACTCAGACTGTCTAAGGTCCAACCTGGAGGTTGTGATTTGCAGTGTCTTAATTTCAAGAGCACCTGAACAAATGCACTGCAATGCAGGCCACCTGCTGCCCCAGGCTGCCAGCTCCCAGGCACCTACCTAGATGCTGCACCTCAATCAGGCAGGCTACAGCTACTGGCCTGAGTGACAGGTGGGCAAGAAATTATTAATTTAAAAAGCTCAGACACCCCCACCCTCCTCCATTTGTAACAATAAGACCCATACATTCTGCTGCATTCACATATGTTGTATCTCAGGAAAGCACTTAGGCACATATTTAAGATAAAGTACGTCCAATTGGTTCTGTGTAAGCAAGTGTTTTTTTTAAAGATACCTTCATGACTGTACACAGCAAGAAGAAACATCTTTGCTGCCAAATCTGAAGTCCGCTTGACAATCATCATGGTACATTTTATTGCTGAAACATGTCAGATGAATATCACAACAAATATTAAATATCTATCCAAACACATAACAGCTAGTGATAACTGTGGCTAAACCAGGCCCATGCTGATGTTTACAAGATGTATTTAACAGACACTTCAGAGATACGACAGATGCCAGACCAAGAGCGATGAGTGAAGACTCTTGCTGTGCCCCAGCAGCTGCCTTTGCCAGACCTACAGAGACCACCACACCTTCATACTCTCCGTTTTCAAATACGCTGTCCATGCTACGGCACATGGATCTGCTCTTCCATGCCACAGATCCCACCCACCAAGTCATGACCTTCACAGAACCACTACAGAAAACATTTTCCAGTAATGCTCATTTGTCTCATTTGCTCTAGTAATTAAAGTCTTTTCCACAACAATTCACAAAGATTCTTTACTAACTCAAAATATTTTATTTTCTAATTTTGAAGCTGCTTGAACTCACAGTCAACCACTCCCAATGCCACTACAAAATTAAGTACTGCTCTGCAAGTCTACATAGGTACCTGTGGCCTAGACTACACTGATATAAAGCAACATTAGGAGTACACCAATAGCCATAATGTTAAAATACATTAAGAAGATTTCTCATGTTAAGAATATGTTAGCTGATCCCAGCTAATGCAGAGTTAAAATCTTCATCTAAAATATTTTTCAAGGGAAAAGTGCAGAACCTCTCACATTAATGCAGTTCAAGAATCTGTATTAAATTCCCAGACTGCCTGCTTAAAAGAAGATTGAACACTATTTCTGACTTCAGTCAGAAATAAAACATTTTATTTAATTCAGTCCTGTTTTCTACTTCCAGATGGTTCACTAACTATTTTCAAAATATTTTCCAGGAACTCCCAAACTGAAAGCATTTTTTTAATTCAATGTAAACTAAAGCCCCACTATCTGTTGGAGGGAGTCCAGAGGAGACCATGAAGATGATCAGGGGCCTGGAGCACCTCCACCATGTGGACAGGCTGAGAGAGTTGGGGTTGCTCAGCCTGGAGAAGAGAAGGCTCTGGGGACACCTTATAGCGGCCTTCCTGTACTTAAAGGGGGCCTGAGGGAAAGATGGGGAGGGATCTTTAGTAGGGCCTGTTGTGATAGGACAAAGGGTGATGGTTTTAAACTAAAAGAGGGCACACTCTAACTAGATATAAGGAAGAAATTTTTTACGATTAGGTTGGTGAAACATGGGCACAAGTTGCCCAGAGCAGCTGTGGCTGCCCCCTCCCTGGCAGTGTTCCAGGCCAGGCTGGACGGGGCTTTGAGCAGCCTGGTCTGGTGGAAGGTGTCCCTGGCCAAGGCAGGGGGGTTGGACTAGATGATCTTTAAAGGTCCCTTCCAACCCAAAACATTCTGTGATTCTATGATTCTATCTGCCTAGCTTTGCTCTGATGAGAAGTTATATTTGATACAATGTAAGTAAAAGATGTTATTAACATCTTTTCCAACATGAAACATTTTCCCAGCCTACGTATGGAATAAGCATTCTTGCTGCATTGATTGGGTATTCACTTCTGGGGATCAGAATAGATGAGGATAGACAAGTGCTAGTATATGGTGCTGCACCTCCCATCCCAACAAACAGAACATCCAAATGCTTACTAAACACAGTGTCATTTTATAAATTGTAGTGAACTAAAGCAAAGCAACTGAGTTCATCCAAGAACAGGACCATTTGCAAAAAGTAAAAAAAAGATTTATGCAAAACGGAGCAATGAGCGTGAATTAAAAAGATCCTGTAATTCTTGAAGTCCTACTGGCTGTCTGGGCAGGTCAGATTTGGGGTGAAGAAGCTGGGGAGGCAGGAATTTTTTGAAAGAGATTCCACAGAATCATTTAGTTTGGAAAAGACCTTTAAGATCATCGAGTCCAACCATAAACCTTGGTGAGTCTCCCAGTGTGCGCATACACACACAAGTCCCTCCTATAATTTCTCTATCTTTAACCACCTGCACAGAGTTAACTAATGGAGTGACATGCAAAACTGGTATCAAAGCCATATGAAGTAACGTATGTACCCTAAGCTGAGTGTGCCAAATGAAGGTTTTTGCAAGTTATTTATGTCAAATCCAACATAGAAACTATTTCACTATAATTTTTACACCAGTATTTCCAAATCACCACCGGGGCTGTCAAGCCACTCTCTAATTTTAATATAAATTGACCTGATAAGCATCGGCCCAGCAGACAGCATCCCTTTGAAGGGAACAGGCAGGCACATCCTTTGTTCAGATCCTCCAACTCCTGAACAACCAACACAGCTCATCACATTACTAGGCAACAGCGAGCAGCAGCCCGGTGGCATAAGAATCCTAGAACTGTTTAGGTTGGAAAAGACCTTTAAGATCATCGAGTTCAACTCTTAACCTAACACTGCCAAGTCCACCACTGAACCGTGTCCTTAGGTGCCACATCTACTTGTCTTTTAAATACCTTCAGGGATGGTGAGTCCACCACTTCCCTGAGCAGCCTGTTCCAATGCTTGACAACCCTTTCAGTGTAGGAACTTTTCTAATATCCAGTTTAAACCTCCCCTGATGCAACTTGAGGCCATTTCCTATCATCCTATCACTCGTTATTTAGGAGAAGAGACTGACACCCACCTCTCTACAACCTGCTTTCAGGGAGTTGTAGAGAGTGATAAGGTCTCCCCTGAACCTCCTTTTCTTCAGGCTAAACAACTCCAGTTCCTTCAGCCACTCTTCATAAGACTTGTTCTCTAGGCCCTTCACCAGCCTTGTTGCCCTTCTCTGGACTCTCTCCAGCACCTCAGTGTCTTTCTTACAGTGAGGGGCCCAAAACTGAATGCAGTATTTGAGGTGCGGCCTCACCAGTGCCAAGTACAGGGGGACAATCACTTCCCTAGCCCTGCTGGCCATGATGCTTCTGATATAAGCCAGGATGCTACTGGCCTTCTCGGCCACCTGGGAACGCTGCTGGCTCACATTCAGCTGGCTGTCAACCAACCCCAATGTGCCTTTTAATTCCTTTTATCCCCAGAGACACTATTAGCACAAGTATCCCAAGTATCATTATTCCTATTTTCCAAGCAGAGAACCAAAGCACCAAATAACTCACAGACTAGTGCCAGAAGATATGTCAGACTCTTAATTCACACTTTTTTCCCAGGTCAGTGACAGAGTACCTGCTGTCCCTAGGAAGAACACCTGCTAGTGACATATTTACAAACAGCTACTGTGTCTGTACCAAGTTAGGAGATGAATTGCCACGGAGTGTAAAAAGTCTTCCCTACGGACATCATCATTTCTGTAGCTGGAGAGCCCAGAGAGGTTTGGGGATTTTGGAACAAACATATGCAAATGTACTTACTGATCAGAATTAGCTATGGTGAGCTCATGGCATAGAGAGCGAGCTGATAAATTTTAATGGAGGAAGGATGGGAAAATGCTGTGTTGAATATATGACAGCAATCCAGGGTGAAATAAGATTTTAAAAAGTCAAGAGAGATAAATAAGTATGACTCTGGATTAACTAAATCATAGCCATTCTAATAGCTAAAAAATAAAATAAAATCACATTGTGAGACAGTTTGGCTACCATCAAGTGCTCAATAACAGCATAAAAGTACATGGTACGAAATCTTACTAAATTACATGTTATGAAAACACTCACACCATGTATATATCACTGGAGAATAAACAGGGTTATCTTTCCACTAGTGGTCCTCTCAGTACTACAGCTCACAGACATTTATGTCAGAAGTTTTTCTGACATGGGCAGGAGCTATTTGTGGTGCAAGAATATACAAGCTCCTGAAGCTGAGCTTCCAGCTCCTGCAGAAGAGGAGCACAGGGGACTTCTAAACCCTTGGCAATTCATCTTCACTAACTGCACCATTCAGGATAATCTTAGAAGTCTGCTTGTTATCCCCAGCTTCTTCAGCTGTACACTCCGGAGGCTCTAGGTCATCGTATCTTCTCCGATAGACTACCCTTGACATTAGGGTTATCAGAAACATTTCCATGATGAGGAGCTGCTGGGTCATATCTGCCAAAAAAAAAAAAAGAAGTAGGCAAAGAAAGGCCCCCCAAAAGGGGGAAATGACTATCAAACACAAAATGAATACCTGACTTATTAATTTTCATCTGTGCAGAAGAAATAAACTCTACCATCCTGTCCCTATAATGGAGTGTCTCTCACACTTGGCAATAAAATCAGTTATAGAATTACAGTATTGTCCATCAATAAGCATGTAATAAGTTATGCATCCAAAATGCAAGAGATTTAACAGTAATTATGCATGTTGATTTCTTTTCCTTTCATTTTTGATTCCAACTCTTCCCAATATTGAGTTTTTCTCTGTGACTATGACAGCTATAAAACTTTGTTATTGTTTTTTAAGTAAAAGCTGAGATTCTTCAAAAGCTGCATGACCCTGGAAAATCAGTATTTTGGGAAAACACCAGATATCACAGTTAGCAACACTGAACTGGCACTTCTATAAATAAATGAAGAGCATCGTTCCCAAAAGAACTTACATGCTCCTCTTGCTGAAGAGGAGAGTGGTGGAGCACATGGAATGATTCTCTGCATAGCCAAGATGTTGATAATAGCTGTCTGCAGGTGGTTCAGAATGAGAATAAACTGAAACAGAAAGAGAAAACTGGTGCCTTAGCTACCAGAAAAAAGGTTTATAGTTCATATAACAATTCTGTTTTCATAACAGACCCTCTTTTGTCTCATTCCTCCTTCCCTGCCCTCCCTCTCCTACCATCTACCAGCAGGCTGCCTGCCATTCTGCAGAATTCATCTTTAGGTCAGGATGATATTGCTCTGAATGCAAGCATTAAATTAAGCTTCTGCTTGAAAAGTGTTTCTTCTCAGCCCTTCATTTGGGGGGGGGGCAATATAAACAGACCTCCCAGCTGGGATTTTAAACAATACGGAGCTCTGAATAATAGGCAACAATGTTTTTAAAACTTCCTGTTAATCTTACCTATAAGCTATGTTCTCCTTTAGCAGAGGCAGGACTCAAAGAACATTTTTTCTGTTGACTCTTATTGCCACAGCAGGGAGATATGGTGATCCCCAAGTTATACGAGACTGGCTTCTTTGCCAGAAGGGATAAGGGCTCTTCACAGCTTGGGTTCAGCAAGAATCACTTATTCATCATATTACCTGCTACTGCCCTGGGGACATCCAAGTGTCTCTCTAGCTGCTAGTGTAACTGCCTGAGTATAAACCCTTGCATTAACAGTTTGCCGTCCTAAACCTAGTGCAGCTTTTCAGGTGTGACTATCCTTTCATTGCATTTGTAAGTGCTTAGTAATTTACTTAACAGAGACCTTAGTGCACCAGCCTTTCTATATGTCCTGTCCAGGAAGGATGCATATCCAAGGATTCTGCTGTACTCTCTTTAGAGTGATAAGGAAGAGGGTGGCCCTGTCCCTGGGCTTTTTCAGTCTAACGTATCTAGTTCTTCTCCTTACTATTTAATGATTCCCAGTCAATATTTTCATTATTATCTAACACTAAAGTGCAGAATGGCCAAGAAAAATATTGTCAAAACAGAACATTGTGAAATGCTGAAACAGTTCAAACAACAGCCACCCACACAATGCTCCACATCCTTTCCTAGTTTTTCTAAGTACACACCAGCATTTTAACATTGTGTTTCAGGATACTGCATTTACAAAGCTTCCTTCAAGCCCTGCAGAAGGTGCTGTTTTGATTTCAGTTGCCTAAAGATAAATGGATTTTACGCAGCTTTCACATCTCCAGCACTCCTGAGAGACTAGAGGTAAATTGGCTCAAGCTGAAACTGAACAGCAGCCAAGGAGCATACTTCAAAGGGATGCAGCTTTAATCAGGTAAAAATATGCCTTTGCAGTGTATTTAATGGGAAAAAAAACCACTAGAACTTTTCAACAAAGGACCAAGAGCCAGAAAGACAGTGTTAAATCAGCAGTTAAGATAAATTCCTATCAGAAATATTAAACTTCTCACCTGATAAAGAGCAAACTTTGGGATGATGTTCTTACAGGTAAGGAGAGTCCTAACTTGTTGAAACATGATTGCAACTGGCCACAGAGCAGTAATGGTGAGGACACCAATGAAGCAGCTAATCCATATTGCAGCTCCTTTGGGAGATAACTGAGAAGCAAATGAAACAAGCGTACGTATGAAACTTTCCAGTACATTTTACTGTTCCCAGGAAGAAGTTGTGAACTGGATGATGCAGATGTTAAAATTCTTGTTTCTGTCTCCATGAAAGCTGATGGCAGCAGCAGTCACTGGGGTTTGCATGGGGAAACTGCACAGTACCAACTGGAGTCTTAGCACAGTGCTCTCACCCAGCAGGCACGCACTGTAAAGCTGTTCAGCCTGAGAAGGTAACAAGTGACACAATCCCTCAATCTGACCCCAGTAGCACCTGGGAATGCTCAGCAGCTCATGAGAGCATATTCAGTGTGACATCTGAGAGCCATCATTTATTTTATACCATGGAACAACAAGAAAAATGTGCTACATTTAAGCTGAGTTATCCAAGAGGTACAAAACTATTAGGAGATATAGACTTCTCCATCATCTTGCAGTTTACCTGGTACAAAGCAGGAGTACAGTACTATCTTTTCTACTTTGTGCAGATAGAAAAATCACCATGATTTGCAGAAAAACATAGAATTAGGTTTCCTGTTTGTGTGCCAGTACATACACTTCTTTCTTAAGGCTGCACCTTACAAAATACAGGACAGGTACATCTCACAGGGCAACTTGCAGTCCTGCTATTCTACCATACAAGCTGAGAAACATATTGGAGCATAATTGATGCCCAACCCACCCTTTCTTTCCAAGAGAAGCCAGGAAATGGAGAGTCTGGGGAAAGGCAGAAATTACATGCTTCAGGGTCTCAAAAGAATACAGTAAGGACTCACTTGGAAGTGCTCCCAGATTTCACAGTTTAGTTGTAGGCTAAGATACTAACATCAGCCCTAAAACCTACGGATTTTTGTGGACCATCTCTAATTGAAGTATTTACTTACACTGTAAAGGGTGTAATTGCCATTAGTCCAAAGCACTATTGATAAAAACATGAACACAGGTCGAAGGAAAGCAAACTGAAAGGTGCCCAGCTTCAGCCAAAAGAGTGTTCGCCTGGCCAAAAAAAAAAAAAAAAATCACACAGGCCAAGATCTTATTAGCAACCTTAATAACATTTTTTGGATACTGTCAACTGCAAAACTTTTCCACTCCTGTAGCATGTGGTGAAAATCTGTGGAGGAACAGCTTCAAGATTAGAAAATCTTTCCAAGAATTACCCAGTGTTTATTTAGTAGAGTTTCTAAAAAAATAGTACTTTTCCTGCTCTGCAGCAATTACATACTAACCAATGCTGGGCAAAATGTGATGTTTCTCTGCCCTGAAGCTAACCAGAGAGCCAGTAGCAGCACAACCGGTTTCTGAATTGTAATGCCACTCGCTCTTGCCTTGTGACCTTACTATTTCAATTTTCTGATGAAATTGGGTAACCAGCCTTCCTGTTCAGACACTTCCTAGTCCTGTGGTAGATCAAGAAAGGGAATCATACAGACAGACCTAGGTGAAAGGACTGGTAGTTTTTCAATGCATCATGAATACTATCATGTAAACATCTTATTTTGCTCCTCTGTACTCTAAGAGAAGAAAGGAACTATCATTCACTTGGCAAACTGCACAAGGCTAACAGGACAGCTAAGGATTTCCTTACTTTTGTCTGTACAAACTGGGTCCAGAACTCAGCCCAGACACAGTAACCTGGTCAGCCAGCATTAAAGGCCACCAGGAAAGGGGCAGAGGCACTTTCTAACAGAGGGCATGAAAGCTGACTGACCTGAACTCTCCTTCAGCCTTCACAGGACAATCTGTGGCTGCTATGGCTGGCTCACGTTTTAGTCTATTACTGTGTATTACTTCCCCTACTGTCAATGTTGTCTTCACTGTAGCTCCCTGGATCCTTGAGACTGCCATTGGAGATGCCCCAGCAGACAACAGGCTGCCATTTAGTATGCTACAGGATACAGCCATGAACCAGGAACTAGGAATTGCGCAAATAATACAGCTAGTAACCACAGGATTATGAACAGCACAAACACATGTGGAAAGGCCTGCAACTGGCCAGCCACTTAGCGTGTGTGCCTTTTCAAAGATTTATTATTCCCAAAGGGCTTTAAAGAATAGCATCACAAACAGTGCAGTCACTGCAATGCCATGAGTTGTTTCCCTTGTCAACGCAGGTCTACCTTTCTTCACCGGCAGACCTCTTCTGCCACATCTCTCCCTGTTGTACAGCTTGTTACTTTGCCTCATCTGTCTACTGCACCCTGTCAGCTTTCCCAGAACTGCTTGATACCATATGTTTTTTTTAAAGAATGAATCCCTACCTCCCCGTTTCCCCAAAAGATACCTACGGGAGGAATGCGAGACTGAGAATGACCTTTCTCTGGTATAGTATGCTCATATTTTAGAAAGAACATGTACCTTGTAATGGGAAAAGGCTAGAAGTCAGAAGCAGGGACAATGTATGGGCTTCACAGTGCTACAGACACCAGAGAAGAAGCTCTAAGTCCTCTGCAGAGCAAAAAGCTTTTTTTTTTTTTAGACAGCTGTCCTTCCTCCCAGGAGTTGTAGGCACTATCTAGCTCCTGAAATGAGTTAATATTAGCTAATATCCTGCATAAGCTGTCACTGGACTCACCAATAGGAGGGCACAGTAGAGGATCCTCTCCCAAGCTCCTAGCTACTACAACCTATACAGAGGGTGACAGATACAGAAAGAAAAACAAATATACTGGTGACACATTAGATCTATAGCACAGCTCTGTCCCATGGCATTTCTTCAGCTCTGACTGCTGAAATGAGCCTGAACCAATGCCAATGAAAATTAATAGGATTCATTTAGATCCCTATCAGTAGTTGCTGATTTCATGTCATTGTATTACATCCATTTTTAGAGATATATTTTTTGGTTGGTTTACTACCTATTCTTCTTGGTGCTCCCTCCATGTAAATAATTAGTGTTACTCTGTAACAATAAAATGACCGAAGCAAGAGTTTAAATTCTAATACTGAATGAGGCAGTTTAAAGAAGAATTATTACAATAAAAAAATAAGAATTTTTTTCAAGTGCATCACAAACTGCTTTCACTTAACCAGACCACAAAATTCCTAAGGTCCCATTGACACCAGTGTCCAGGCCCTCATAGAAAAGTCTTTGTCTTGCACATTCAGTCCTTCAGCTTTTGCTCTTAATGCCAGAAACATTCTCATACTCTGTGCCAGTAGGAAACCCTGTGAAACACATGAGGCTTCCAGGCTTTGGAGTGGTGTATAAATGACAGGGTGACACTAGACAGAGGAGGAGCCCCACAAGGCAGTGCTCAAAGGAGGCAGGATTTATGTTACAGTATATTGTCTCCTGCAGGTGCAGCTCTCCATCCTCACCCCACTTCTCAAAGGTGCATTAATACTAAGGTTTAGTAGAAGAAAATGTTTGGATTTTCCTCACTAGACAATGCCATTTCATTGAGATCAAAGCTTTTCAGGGATTAGATCTGTTTTTTTTTCCTCTAAGAATTATTTTAATATGAAATAGTTTTAAAGTCAAAATCAGAATAAACGATTTCAATTTCATCGAAGTAAGACATTTTCTTCCAAGACTGCCTCAATTTGACAGTTCTGCTTGTGAAAAATACCCAATTTGGAGATATTTGTTCCCTTCTGGAATGAAAAGAAACTGAAATCTCAATTATTAGGTTTTCTAGCGTAGAAATTCCTCCTCCCACACACCACTGCTTACTATAGAAATGTTTTTTTGGAAGAGACTGGGATTAGTTGAGGAGATACAACAGTGCTCAGCATTAATATGAGTGGGAACACTGCACTGGATTAAACTGAGAGAGCTCGTGTTCTCGACTCTATGCAAAATTCTGCATTATAAAAACGAAATAAATTAGTGGTGGTATACAGCCCCAAAGTGATGGCACTGTTTAAAAGAAATGGCTTGAGACTGACTTTCGGGAAGCAAGGAGGCGCTTTGCTGTAAGCCTGGCCTTGCCAAATTGGCTGAATTCCAGCACCCGTTTTCCAGCTCAGAAATCTTAAAGGGCAACTCACCTAGTGATGCGCACACGAGGGAGGCAAAGGCAGCAGCAACAGCAGGGACCGGTGCTGATCTTGAAGCGACCATTTTCAAACCGCCTGAGGAGCAGCTTTTGACCTCCGCACTCTTTAATCATCATCATCAGGAACTTGTGGATAACTATGGCAAAAAATCTAGGAGAGGAAGAAAATGCTAGTTTGAACTTGCCTGTGTGTCTGTCGTATGCCTGTGCAGGCCAGTGCCACCTTCTGTCCAGGGTTTTTTACATCTTGCGCTTTGCAATCAACAAAAATTCTAGCACTAGCTGTGAAAAACCTTCTGCTTTCCATCATCTTGGAGGACCAGAATTGCCCTAACCTCAGCAAAAGAGGAATAAAGCGAGACACAGAGCAGCTGTAGAATTTCCCAAAGCCGAACTGGTGGCTGGTGGCGGAGACAGTATTAAAGCACAGGCTTTTCTGGCCCAAGTCATTATGGCCATATTTTTCCATCAGTTATCTTAGTCCTGACTGGTCCAAACTTTTTAGAAACAGTCCTCTTCCTCCTCTTAAAAAAAACCCCAAACCAAAAACCCAACAACAAAAATGGCCAGGTTCATATATATATATATATATATATATAATTGAATGTGTTGGCCCAGTCAGGGTGTGGCTCCTCTGCAGCCAAAGCTGATCCAAGCACTGACTGCTGCAGTGCCACCTCTCCCTACATCAGCTGCACATTCCTGACCTTTCCCAGCAACTACAGATTGTGCAACCACCCTTTCCTCCCTGCCCCTAAACGATTTTAGGGAACTGATTCACTGAAATGCAACCTCTCCAAATAAAAGAGGTCCTCTTCAGCTGCACTGCTTCCTTGAAGGAGCCTGCTGTGCAGCTGGAGACTGAGTGGTAGTGGATTAAAGTGAGTGGATGGGAACCTGCAGCTTGGGCAAGGGAGGAGCGGGGATTCAGACAGGCTTGAAGTGCCATAGGACCAGATCCTTGGAAGTTTCTGGCAAGCTGCACTACCTGCACAAATTGCTTCATGCTAACAGTGTTCCCTGCTACTGTTTTCCCTCGTTCTTTACTCTACTCTTCTGGCAAACGCAGTGTGACGTGAGGTGAGGCCATTCATGCGAGTCTGATACCATCCTGCAGTGGGTTCCAAAATCATCCCCAAAGGAACTGTGGAGTACCCAAGGCCAGAGCATCCCCCCACCTGGCTCTGCCTACCAGGGCTGGGCCACCTCCTCCAGAAAGCAAAGATCACACTTCTCCCTTCTTCTCCGTGCATGTCAGAGCTGTCATGCTCGTACAGAAACAGCTTTTATCAGAAGAACTGTGGAACATTTTTACACTGATATACTCATCGGAGGTTCACTTGCCACCATTAATAATAGACCTCCACGGCTCATCATTAGTAAAAGCACAGAGAAGGAGTCACAGGTCAGAATCTCATTCCACATGACACACAGAGAGAGGAAAGAAAGAGTACTACTTCAAAGCTACTGTCAATCTGAGGGATCAATTACATGCGAGTCACAGATCTTTCATACTGAGGTTCCCACACTAGGGGACTGTAGTACTGTGGAACTGCTTCAGCATATTCCACCTCTCAGAAAAGAGTTGCCAAGAGATTTCAACTCAAACCAAAAATTACTAAATTGTTAAATTTACAAAATGACTGTGTTTACCAAGAGCAGCAGATGTTTAAAGGGAAGAAATTCAGGGTTTTGGGCAACACCTAGAAACAAGCAGAATACTCACATGGCTGCTGTGAAATCTGTAAACATTGTTGAGCGAGGAATCCACATGCCAATGCATGAAGTAGTAGCAATCACCTACAGAGAAAGGGAGGAGGATTGTAAGAAGGGCAGAGATAAAGCAGGTTCATGTGGATTTTTGGGGAAACTCCATTTTCAACATTCAATTTTATCTCTTTTCCATGGTAACTTACTGGAGCTGCAGCATTAATCCAAATTATGATTGATCTTTTGGAGGAGGGGATTTTCCTGTAGATGTAGACTGCTTCCTCTATAAACACAAGATTGGCAATTAGCGCCATCAGAGTCAAGATTGTAAAGAGAAGTCTTCCTGGTAGGTCAAGGCCTGAAGAGAGAGAGAAAAAAAGAGACAGTTCTGATTTATTTAATAATCATTCCAAACATTTAATGTAAAGACACCATCTCTGAGGAGCTTCTTAGCCCTGTTTCTGCAAAGACTTGCACTCATCCTTAGCTACATAGAGAGACCATTGCCTCCACAGGATGATTCAAATACTTAAGTTCATGGCCAGATGTTTCCACGATCCACAGAGAGCATATGGGAAGAATATGCCTGCATGTTCTCAAAGCATTATGCAAAAGTCTCCTTCAAAAAGGTGGAGTTCCAGGACAAATGTCCTTAGATGACGTAAATAAGTAACAGAACATATATAAATACAGTAAATAAATATTCTGGGAACCTTTCCAGGCTGACTACAAGCAAAAATGTATTTACTCAGTATTAGTTCTTTGCTTCCATTGTATGTTCATAGGCACATCTTGTGCATAACTTCCTTAGGCATGCAAACTTTTTAAGGGCTCGGTGGAAGTTTGTGGGGTACACAAGCAATGTAAAGATAAGCCCCTGATATATCTAGCCTGAGAAAATACTTGATGCCTTCACCAAATTCCTTTTAACTTCTCCCTTAAAGCTGGATATGGATATCAACATCTACCCAGGGTTGATGGGGTTTATGTCTCCACTGACACTAGGTATGGATATCAACTTTTACCCACGGCTGATGGTTGGGGTGTATCTGTCATGCTTAACTGAGGAGAAGTTCATGCTCATCCCTGGTTCTAACTCCCGCTGTGGCTGTCGCCCGCCTAAAGGCATACCGAGCAGCGCCTGCAAAGGTGAGCCTCGGCCCCAGCCTCTTTACCCTCACGGGCTCCACAACAGCCTCCGCTCCAGACCCGGCTGCGGGCGGAGCAGCCCCCGTCTCGGCGGGCATCTGCACACCTCGGAGCCCGCCACGGGGGAGCCCCGGGCCAGGCGCGGGTCTGTGGCGGCTGCAGCGCTCGGTTCGGCCCCTACCGGGAGGCGCCCCCCGGCCC